ACAAATGAAATGCTGTGATGATCAACAGCTTGCAAACACATGTGCTTCTCTTTTGAATCAAATCCACAAACTTGACAATGCTACGGTAAAGGCCACACAGTTGCGGGTAATGGACATATTTGTCACAACTTCAACTCCCTTGGAACAGTTGGTGCACACCGTGAGCTGTATCTTCCAGGATGTGCAAGATGAAGATAAGTTGCATGTGGAAACACTTCAGGTTCAATCTGAATCCTTCATAACACATGCTGACAAGATTTCAGAAGTGGCAGGCTTCGTCTCAGCTTTAGCGTGTGATGAAAAGAGTCTTGAGGGCGTAGAGAACTCAAGGGGATGCATCATGAGACTGAATCAAGCAATTTGTGTACTTATGCAAAATCTAGAGGAAGACGAGGTGCGTTCAAGTGAAGCTCTGGAAAAACTAAAAGAGATGCAACAGAGATGGTCAGAGGAGATTGAGCAGCTCTTTCACGCATGTAGTAGCATCATAAACGTGAAGGACTTTGTCTGTCTTGCTCTTCAGGAGATCCAGAGCAACTGGATGGAGTTTGTTGAGGCACATGAAGATGAAGATGCACAGTATCTCACAAAACAGGCAAGCTTGCTTATTGGCCATATGAGCTTGGTAATCCAGCTCGTGAGAAAACATGTAAATAAGAGTGACAATCCAATCTACCGTAATGGACTTCTGGTACTGATAAAGCAAGCGGAAGGATCTGCTGCCGAGGTGACAAGTTGTGTCACTGATATCTACTCTAATACCAGTCTTAGCAATGAGGCTTTCTCATTGCTCTCTGATTGTGTTTCAACAGCCCTAAAACACTTTGACATTCTACGTGAAGGACTTGACGGTTTGCAGCATCCACATCTGCTTAGCCCACTGCGGGAGGGAGCTCGCCAGTCTGCCGGTACTGTACCATGTGCTATGCCCATTTCAGAACTTGAAAGATCAACTGAAGATCATTCTGATAAAACAGAATCTGAGTCTTCAGTGCAAAGTTCCACTGGTGAAGAAATTCCATGTCAACTCAAAGATAGTTTAGCAAAGCCGGCTGTTCATCTAATAGTGGAGCATGATGTACCAAACCCTGAAGAAGCATGGATTGCACCTGTCACGGAATCTAAATCTGTCGTACAGCTCCATAATATTGATTTGTTGCCTCTCTTGTGTGAAGTTGTCTGCATGACCAAAGGTAAAGATGTAGAGGCTCTTAACAGGGCTTGCACTGGAGTTCTAGTACTCTCAAACAGCTATGCCCAAGCTACAAGAGAAGCCACCAGTGTCATAGACATGGCTGATAGTGAGGAAGTGGAAAGTCTGCGGTCCAAACTCGTGTCCTTGACACCCTTGCTTGTCCAGACAGCGCAGGAAACAGCTATGAGTGCATCCATGAGTACAGATGGCATTTATAAATACAGTACAGACTTCTCTGACATCATCAAAAATGCCCGTAAGACATTGCTGCCAGTGGTAGGGATGTGGTACCATGCCGTTTACTCCATGTTCCAAAACTATGTACCCAATATGTTGGAGTCCATCACACAGGAACTCACCGAGGTCATGTGTTTATGTGCAGATGCCGTGCAACTTGTGACATCAGCAGATATAAAGGTGATGGGTGATTGTCATGAGAGTATAATGTCTTTGCAGAGCAAGCTCCAAAAAGCTCAAACCAACACCAAGAATCTCACAGACGTAGTGGGTTCAAGACCAACTCAAACTGATGAACTTGACGGTCTCTGCATGCTTTGGGCCTTGTCTGTCCAGGTACTGTTGAACTCATTGGATAAGGTTGTGGGAACAGCTACGACTGATGGTAAGGGGCACATAAACACACATCAAATGGCACCCAAAAAATGGTTGTCAGTAATGTCTGAGAACTCACTTCGCATACAAGAAGCTGTGAGACTGTATTCTTTGAACTGTCGAGATAGCTATAAAATTAAACTGCTAGGAGAACTACAAGAAGATGTGAAGACACTTACAGATTCCTACCTACAGGCTGCTGAAGAAGTTGGTACGGTGTCCCTCTCAAGTATCCTGATGCTGGCTAAATCAGAGCTATATCAGAGACAGCTTCAGATTAAAATGAAAGCACTCTCTTGTCTCCTGAGCAAAGTTAACCATGATTATATGACGGCCATTCAAGATACTATAGCTTTGGCATGCTCTGTCCAAACAAAAGATAGTGACATGGAAACTGAAGACACTCTGGCACAGTTTGAAAGTGCTGCAGAATTGCTTATGCAGAATGTTAAAAGTGCTACAGAGTCCATTCAGGACTGTTTCAATTTCATTAGAGAGCCAAAGGAAAGGTCCAATCTGAGATTCATAAATGACCACTTGACATTTCAGATGTCAGACATTATGAGTAGAGCCAGACTAATAGCAGAGACGCAAACTCTTGGAGACACTCTCACCCTTGATATTCAGTCACAGTGCTGGTCAGCAAAGGCACATTACCTTGTTGAAGAAATTTGTAAAGTAGATGGAATTATTGCGGTCACAAAGGAACAGATCAAGTGTAGTTTGCAGGGCAAAGAGTCTAGTGGAGTCTCCCGGACACCAAGTTTCACAAAAAAGGCAACACTACATTCTCTATCCACAAATAATCAAGGTCCTACTAAAAGCAAACCAAGTACAGGTGTCCAAGATGTGTTCAATCAGGAACCAAATAAGGTAATACAAATTGATGAATCATGTTATAGTTGAAGAATGGACAACATTTTAGATCAAGCAATGTAACATATTTTTCTACCTCAGGAAGAGACATCCCAGAGGAGCCCAAGAGGTCCTGTGTTCAACTTAGTAGATACGACCCTCTCTTACACTTCTCTCTTTCTGAAACGAGAGACTGAGAAGTGGGATGACCAGGGTAACCAGATTGTCAAGGTGACAAAAGAAATGGCAGATAAACTCTATCACATGGCCCAGTACCTAAAGAAGAAAGGGCCAATCCAGGTCAGAAGCTTTGAAAGTTTTCTTTTGTATAAAGGTTATGTTCCCATACTGAAACAAGTTTGTTTCACCTGTAGACCAAAGATGCTTTTGTAACATCTGCAAAGGATCTTGTCTCAAGCGGCCAGTCAATCACCCAGTTTGTGCATGTCATAGCAGACCACTGTCTGGACAAGCATTGCACCGAGGAGCTCTTTGTCATTGCAGAGCAGATTCTGACCATTTCTAACCAACTTACCATCATTTCAAGGTGAGAGACAATCAATAGTATATCTCCCTGACTTGCAATAATTCTGATTGAAGGTCTTTCTTGCAGCATCTGAAAGTTACTTTCTTTCTTAAATCACTGACACATTCAAACATGTGCAAACAACATTACCAATAAATTAAACATGCAAAAATGTCATGTGACCCAAGGGGTGCATGGTGTCTCTCCAGTGTTAATGCAGTTACTCCTGCGTGCAAATCATCAGATGAGATCCTGGTGAAGAATGCACAGAATCTACTCCAGACAGTTATCCAAGGAGTACGAGCAGCAGAGACTGCCTGCATCAGGGTAAGAGAAACTGAGAAAGTTTTCCTCCAACTACTTGGGGAAATAAGATTGTGAAGGAGCATTATGCACCAGGGAATAAGTCAAAAGTAGTCGTGTCTATCTTCTCTTGTATGATATTTAGCATGCTTAACTTTGGTTTAAATGGCTCTTTCTGATTTTACAGGGTTTGAAACAGCCTGAGCCAAACTCGGAAGCAGCAAAAGCAGCAGCGTTCTGTTTCCAGTGGAAAAAGAGTCTCCTTATGCACCGAGCTCAAGAACAGCTTAACCCAGAAACTGATGATTTGGGTCTACGTAGGACCTCCCAACATTCAACGGCGCCCAGCCTTGCACCACCCATCAATGTGTTAGATAATTACAGAGTAAACACAAAATAAAGGGTCTAAATTTTGCCTGTAACTTTTGGCTATTCTGTTGTTATTGTATGTTAAGTCAACAGCCATGCCAAACACTGTGGTATATCACATTGATTTATAGTTGTTTTGAGCCTCACAAACCAAACTAAAAATGCACAATGAACACACTGTGCTTTAAGAAAAAAAGTCTTCAAAAATATTTATACTGCGGTCATAAAATAATATTAAAAAGTACCCATAATGTGAGTAGTCAAAAGATAAAAATTTTTCAGTATCATTTTATCATCAATGTCCAAGTAAAATTGCAGGCCTGATCTCATTTATAAATCATTTACTGTAATACTTTAAAAACAAACATAAATACATGTATTAGAAGAGGTATGTCTACTAACCAAAAAAAAAAAAAAATTGTAGAAAAAGGACATAAACAAAAAATATGTTGTAATGTAAATCAAACTTTAAAAACTATTTTTTAGCATTTTTTTAGCATTTGAAAGCTACAAATATTAACAAAATGTTTAAATGGTATACATTACATGTAGCTGTTCAATAATTTTTATTTTTCAGTATGATTATTTATACTAGCATTTTAGGTTCTTTTTTTTGTATTGGTCCTTTTTTCACATTGCACATTTTTGTCTGAATTATATGTATGCATATATATATCAACATGTATTTGAAGAGTTATGGTAAATGCATTTTAGAAGTATGATTGTAAATTATAAATGAGATCAAGTGTGAAATTTAGTTGGACACTGATGATGTGATATAAAAATAAAAAAAAGATGTTATCCTCAAAGTTCATTGTACAGTAAAATGCATTAGCCTGAACGCTAAAACAATGACTGAAGTTGCTCAGCTGGCTGCTATTGTGATGGGTTTCACAACACAAAAGTGACATCCACTTAAAAACACTAATATCAGAATCACTTAATCCTTTTTATTTTATTTTAGACATCGAATTAAAAAAAAAGTGACTGCTGTATTTAAATTCCCTTACTAGCATTTCAGTCATACTGGTAAAAGAACACAAAAACAGTTCAGCATTTTCTGTGGAAAAACATATACAAATAAAATAGAATTATCTACGCAAAAAACAATCACCATAAAAAAGATGGAAAAAAAGTTGTTAAAAAGAAAACCATTTACAACAGAGATTCTCTGAATGGAATCTCATACGAACCTTTTCATCACCAAAATCACAAATGCTTTGATGAAATGCACACTTGACATGAATGAGACATAGAAGTGCTGTTATATTACAGTGTTTATATATACTTTGTAAGTAGTTATGTGATAAATACTGTGGGAATTTAGCTAAATTTTATATATTTTTTTATAGCTTTATGCATTACACAGTACTACAAATATGAATACTTTAAGCCACACATCCCTTTTAACCGCTGACAGCAACGGAACCATTGCGTCACTGATATTACATATACTCACCAGTTTAGCAGACTCTGCTTACCAAAGTCTCCATATACCAGATACAAACGTACTTAAAATGCTTATTGAGCAAATAAAGTCCTTGCCTATCCAATGAGAATCTATGCACAAGAGGCCAAAAGAAAAATATATCTGGTTAGATCATGATGCAGCAGTGGAGAATATATGTACAAACCAATATAAATAAATAGAAAAGCTTCATATACATGCAGGGTGAATACAAAGAACAGATGTACAGAATACAGTAAATGCATGAGCTATATTCAGTATAGGCGTGTTTACTGACAGAATGGAGAGGCTGTGGGGTCAAAGGTTTTAAAGACATCCCTCAAGGGCCTGTCTTTCTTCTTACTGTCTTTGTCCTCCTCATCTTCTTGCGGAGTCCCAGCAGCAGGGCCCACAGGTTTGTTCTGCCGCGGGTCAGTGTAAGCAGGCCGTATCAGTCCTGCTAGTGCCTGGATAGGCAAGTTGTGCACAGCGGGAGCTGCCGCCCGGACTGGCGAGCAAGGAGACGCTGGCATTACGGTAGGCACAGGAGGATTTGACGGACAGCCACCTGTGTTGCTCTCAGAGTCATCAAGTGGACTTTTTTCGTCTTTTTCTACTCCTGTTCCCTGTGACGGCGAGGCATATGGTGGAGAGCTTGGAAGCTTCGCAGACGGCTTTAGGATACTTGGTTTTTTAGGGTGCTCCTCACTTTCACGTTTCGGGGAGAGTAGGCTGTGATTGCGTGGATCGTATAAACTTATCCCGCCTAACAGCGTGGTTGGGCTTTCAAGACCTGCACCCATTGAAGACGCCAGGCGGGGAGCATATGGGGGCAACTTTTCCGACTCGGGCTTAGTGGAAGCGCCAACCGGTTGGTTTGAAGATCCACGCTGTAGCCGCGGGTCAGAGGCTCCTCCTCCAGATGTACTCTCCCTTATTCCCGGTAGCTTGGAGTCCAGGCTTCCAGACCGGCTGATTCTGGGATCAAGAGTCTTGTGTGTACGTGGGTCCACGGGCTTGTCCGGGTGGTGGTGACGAGTATCCACAGTCCTACGAGGAGGACTGCCGAGTCGCCCGACTCCCTCTTTGAAGCGGGCGGCTGCCAGACGTGGATCAGGAGGTGTTGGGGTTGATGATGGAGGGTGATCCGGTGGGGAGGAAAGACTACGGTTCAGCTGAGCATCTGCGATTAAAGGTGGGAGCGGAAGATTTATGGAGGGCTCCTGTTTGGGAATCAACAGAGGAATGAGGTCCTCTGGAGCCCAAACCACGGTCTGCGCAAACGCCGGACGCTGGAGGAGAATATCCACCCGGATGTGACTGAACTGCTTGATTTGACAGCGGGGGTCTCGCAGCGCGGCTCCAGGGCTGGGATCCAACGGGATCAAGGCTGCTCGTTCCCTTAGCTCTCTCTCACATTCGTCATCATCCTCTCTGGCGGGAGGTTTGTGGGACACGGGGGGGTTTGGGTGGCGATGAGGGTCAGGTTTGGAGGAGTCCAAAGGTTTCATCTTGCGTGGGTCTCTGGCAAGCCTGGGGTCCCCGATACCATCTCCAGCGTCTTTCCTGGGATCTGGGGGACGCTGACGTGGGTCAGCTTTTATTCGAGGATCGTTGGGCAAAACTCGTTCCTTCTGGAGTCTGGGGTCGGCTGGTCCCAAGCTAGGCTGGTTTTTCAGCATGTCATTCTGCTTCTTCAGAGTATTAACGATGGCTGTTACGCTACTGCCCTCTTCCTCATCACTGGAGTACCAATTAGGGGCTTCATCTAATAAACAGAAATTATATTAGAGTATGAACATTCAAATAGAATCAAACCGGAACCAGGGTCTTCATATTTTAAACCTACTTTGCTAATGTATTACTATTCAATTTTAAAATTGATTTGACTATATATAAAACATTATGATGCTGGTTCCCTCGCTAAAGGCCAAAAGGATTTTTCCACTGGCTTCTGGATTATTGCAAAATTGCAAAAAAAAAAAAAAAAAAGCTCTGTGACCAACAAAAGTTTATGATTCTAACAAGTTTTGTTAATCACGATAACCTTCAGAAATAAACACAACTTTTATGCATTTTAAAGCCTAAAAACAATCTGCAGAAAAGGAAAAGCTAATGTTTGGCTATAAACAAACTACACCACGAATGCATGACTTCAGAGTCATCAATATTAAGCTTCCTACAACTCTTTTAGTCTTTACTTCAAATCTACAAGTTGGAAAGTTAGAGTTAGAATATTTTGCAAGAGTGCTAGTATAAACAAAAGTATGCTGTAACAGTGAATAGATTAATTTTCCTGTTCGCTGTGATTACGTTTAACGCCCCCAACAATCTCTATAGTCCCACTTAGAAACCACTTTTTTCAAGACACAAAATATCACAAGTGATGTATTAATCATATATTTTATGTCCTAGAATAAAATGTGACAAGCCTGTGTTAACCACAGACCAAAAAAACATTTTTAAAAAACCAGTGACTTCAGGAGGATGGATCCAGAAATTCAAAAAACTAACTTGTTTCCAGGTTTTAGTACACCTGCAGCACTCTGTTGTTCAGGGTTAAAGCAATTATTGTTTCAAAATGTTTATTTCCAACATCCCACTCTAACCTTTCTCTCTGTTGGGAGGTGCAGACCCTTGTCCCTCATCCCTGTGAGAGTCAGAGTCTTGCTTGTTCTGGTTGAGATGTAAAAGCAAAGCCTTCTGTACAACCGGAAGGAAGTCCTGCATCCCACTGGAATCAGCGTTACCATGTGGCTGCGAGTCCTGCATGGGTCCCTCATCTGTAGATACAATGGAAAACAGGGCGTCAATAGATTCATATTTAATAAATATCATACTTTAAGGGCATCTATTAATGGAAAAAATACAAATTAATAGTAAATAAAGACCTACTACCTTGGGCCAGAGACTGGCTGCTAAACAAATTCTTGAAGAACTCCGAGGGCATCTGGCCCATGTTTTGGAAAGGCATGTTCATTTGCATGTCAGGCACAGGTTGAAATGGAGCCCCCTGTTGAGTCAGTGGAGGACGGTTCATGTGCTGCATGTTTCCATGAAAAGCAGGCGGCTGACCTAGAGGTGGCCTAGGAGAGCACTGGCCAAAACCCTGGGGTGGAGGTGGGCCTGGTGGGCTTTGGGGCATTCCTGGACCTGTGAATGGAAGGGGAGGGCTCCCTATGGAGCCTGGATGAGGGGAATGGGAAGGATTGGGAGGAGAAGACATCATATTGCCAGCCTGCATATCCTCAGGGCTACTGCCAAACTGTGGACCACCTTGAAACTGTCCAGCAGGGGGAGATGTACTGTTGTAGAAATTGGGCCTGCAATGAAAACCACAATGAAACATGCAACAAATGAAAGCCCAAACAAAAACATAACTTGTTTATGTAATTGTATGTAATATAATTGACACTCACTTGGACTATTGGGGGAAAAACATCTTTCTAAAATTTTCTATAATAATGAATAGGTAATCTATACAATGCCAATCTGAAGTAACTGGTTGAAACTGTGGTTCTGAACTTTATAGTTTGGCAAAACATTAGAAATAATGACCTTTATGAATGTAGAAATAATTATCTACTGTTCATTTTGACTTGTAGAATGAAAATATATTTATTGATATTGCCATCTTGTGAATGGGATATAAGAAAAAGCTAAATGATAATGCTAAAACAGGTTATATGATGTGTAAACAGACCAAACTTGACCAAATATTCTGGATGTAAACAGTCAGTGTTAAGAGGATTAAGTCAATAAATGCCAACAGTACCTTAGAGCAATCTTCTGTGCCAAGTCCACAGTAGGCTGAACTTTAATCTCAAAAAGAGAGGGGATCTTCTTGCCTCCATCCGGTGGACTTCCAGGTCCAGGAGTGGGTAACAATCCAACTCCTGGAGGTGGTTTAGGTAGTGGAGCGATTCCTTGTTTTCTCAGATCTTCTAACTCCAGCTCATCCTCATTGACAGTTTCCTCGTCTATATTTAGGATCTAAAATGTGCAACAGCAATTAGGTTTCCAATGTGTGATTTATTCATTGAATGTGACATCAAATAGTTTCAAGAGTTGATGCTAAAACGTATACCTTGATAGATGTGACAGTTTCATACCTGGACTTCTTATAAAGTGCTAAAATAACTCTAATAGAGTGGTGGAACTATGATGTCACTTTGTAGGCAAAAACCCGGAAGCGAGTTAGCATTTTAGCACTTCCGGTTCCATCGTCCCAGAGTCAATGGGTTTTCTGAACGGGAGTTTGGTTAAATCCCCTAAAATAAGGTCCGTGGTTCACACAAGCTCAAGATACTTTTAAAAAAGACGGTTGCTAACAAGTTGCTAAATGGGACTACAGGCGATGTCGGAGACATTAAACGTCATCACGCTGAACAGTTTATCAACTTACAGTATATTCCAATTGTAGTATAATTTATAGTACAATTAATTGTAGAATAACCAATTAAAGGGTTAGTTCACCCAAAAATGAAAATTAGCCCATAAATTACTCACCCTCAAGTCATCCTAGGTGTATGACTTTCTTCTTTCAGACGAATCCAGTCGGAGTTATATTAAAAATTGTCAATTTTCATTTCACTAACCCTTTAATAGTTTACCGCATTTTATATTGTTGTTCGACAATGTTTTTTTTTGTTTTCTCCCGAAATGCAACAAGTCTTCGGATGGAAGATGCTCGTTTTACCACTTACTGATGCGGAGACTCTGGGTTCGGACCATAAGGTACACTCATATGATTATTCCATGTAAACAGCACATTTACCGGCTTAGTCGCGGTGAAAGTGAAACTTAAACGATGCATAGTGCTTAAAGCCACGTTAAAATAAAATGTTTACAGCCACAAGCAGCTGTTAGAAAACATATAGATTGAGGATTTTCTAGAAGCAAAGATAAAATAACATTTTGTGTACCCATCCTAACAAAACGATAGCTGAAATGTGGTACTTTATTCCCTAAAGTAAGTTTAATCTTACCATATCCAAAAACTCGCTCACTCTGCCATTATTTAATAGATGAAATGCACTAGAATTTTACTGAATAGTCCGTGGAGACGCGTTTTTAATTAAAATATTCATATTAATCAAAGATTTATTCACTTTTAATGCACCTTATTTCGAAATGTACAGAAATACGTGCTTTCATATGTCCTTTAGTTATGATTATTTCATTTATTCACTATACTATTTATTACTAATGTCTCATTTCAGTTTTAGTTTGGCTCTAGTTTTGTATTTATTCCAGTTTATATGAAAAAGTTCATGTAGCGTAGATTAAAATTAATATACAGAGTAAATCTTTTTCACTGAAAGTGTTAAAAATAAGTTTGAAAAGTTGTGGGAAGCATGGTGGTGGTGACGTTGAAAGCGAGCGACCGTGGTGCTGTAGTTCGTTTATAGCCTAAGTTTAGCTTTTAAGTTCTGGCGCTTTTATTTTGGCTTCAGAATTCATAAAAGTTATATTATTTTGTGAAGATTATCTTGATGGACAAAACGTGTAAGTTTCATGAACTATGATTGAACACGGAGCTTATTTTTTGCGATTATCCAAAAGCCTATGGAAAAATCCCATTGGCTTTTTGTGGAGGGAACCAGTGCGATGCTAACAGCCGATCCGCCTACAAAGTGACGTCATATTTCCCCCCCTCTATTGTGACCCTGGAACTGGACAGTTACTAAGAACACATTTTATTACCCCAAGTTACTTAAAATTCTCAGCAATCAGTGTGTATTTTAAATATGCATGCAGTGCATGTATTTGTAAGAAAACTGAATATTAAGTCACAAGTTAGTCCATACCTTCTCCAAAAGTTCCTTGGTAACATCGGTTAAAGGTTCATGGGAGAACTTGCAGTTGTCTCCTTGATAACACTTTGCTCCGGTGTGAAAGAACTTGCACGGATACTCACATACACTTTAGGGTCAAGGTCCAAAACGAGAAACAAACAACAGAAAACCCTTATCTTTTTTGACTAATGTCATGTTATGATTATTTCCTACTGTTAATCTGTAAAAACCTATCCAAGAAATGTTTTGAAAGGATATTGTGCATGTATATACAGATATCTCCTTTGGTACAGTATCCCTGGACATAAAACTTGCACAGTTCTTTCTTCTTCTCTGGGACAACATTATCATGTTCAAACTTGCACTGGTCCCCCTGTGACGCATTAAGATCACGTTACAACTGAATTTTGACAAATAAAACAAAGTACTGTTTAACCCACTTTGTGTGTGATAAGGGTGAAATTAGCTTACTTTGATGCATCTACCCTCCAGGAAATATTTACAAATGTGCCTCCCATTGTGTTCAAACGTATGTTGATTAATGAATTCCTGGCTCATGATTGGCCGCTTCTTCTGGAAATTGGGTGGACCTTTAGAATCCTGTATGAGGACAAGACAATAACATGAGTGCCCTGAGATCTTACTGGAGATGGTTCACTCAAAAATGAGAAATTCTCACCCCATCTCCTCCACCCTGTTCTCCTCCTCGACCACGACCCCGGCCCCAGTTCTTGCCCTTCTGTTTCTTATTCTTGTTCGGCATTCCCCGTCCCCTGCCAATGGCACCACGACCTCTACCACGCTGCCCACCAACTATATAAAAAAGTAAAAGAAAATAATGAGAGATAACAACAAGGAATGCCCAAAATTACAGGTTTAGTCTGTTGGGTCTTCAAATGAATTCCCATGCAGTCTTTTATTTTCTTTGTTAGTGAAGTAAACAACATACACTGCTGTTGTTGTTTTTGTTGTCCCTTCATGATTGGTCTCTTGGCCTGGTCTTTAGGCCCTGCCTTGCCATGACCAGATGACTCTTTAGCATGTTTGTATTTAGACAGCTCCTCTGAGAAATCCTCCTCTTCATCATAGTCATACTTTTCTTCACTGTAGTCACTGTATTTGTCTAAATCGCTGTTCTTGCGCTGCATTGATCTTGGTGGTTTTGTGGGTTCATTTTCCCGCTGGAGACGTGGGTAGAAAAGAAAATTAACTGAAAGCTGCTGCTAATGAAATGTTAAATCCAGTACCTGACCCTGAACTCACCTGCACCAATTCTCCATCATGGTCACGATATGTTCCTTTGCTCTTCTTGCTCTTAGGTCTGTCTTGACGCTCGTGCTCTGAGTCATAGCTGTCTGAGCTGGAGCCACTGGATGGAGAGTGATGCTGAGTTGGAAAATGTTGAAAAAAGGTAAGAGAAAAGGTCAAAGCTAGTAACAGTTGCACAAAAAGATAGGACAGAACGTACCTTTTGACGGTCTCGTCTCCTTCTCTTCGACCGTCGTTTTTCTTTAATTTTCCTGTGTCGTTTTCGGGAATGCCGGTGTAACTTTTCATCTTTTTCTCTGTCTTTTCCTTTCTCTTTCTCAACCTCTTCAGACTCCTCCTTAGTTTCCTTCACTTCTTCTATGCTTATGCCTTCATCATCTATTTCTCCATCCTCCAATTCGCCATCCTCCCTATAAGATCAAACATGTTTGAGAATTTAATCAACAAAAACAATGAGCCAAGAAAGTGCTATCAAATCAGTGAAGTAGCTAAATATTCTGAGCAAAACAGTCACTAGTATTCAATGGTGTTTGCTAAGCATCATTACTATTATTGCTCACACACAGAATTAGGGGTTTATGATGAAGTTTTAAAGACTTGAGCCAAAAAGCAGCCACCCACAATCCTCTAGCAACCAGAGAGAACATCCTACAAACTGTATAGCAATGCATTGGCAAACACCCACAACAACACCATGGTATTGTGGCAGTGAGCTTTGCATAGGCCTTCAATAAATATAAAATTATAGTTACAACTTAAAACTCCTCTACAAAAACACCATAATAAAAAAAATAACTAAAAACAAAAGAATAAACAAAAAAAGTGTCTACTCTGCTCTGAAGAGCATATGCTGGATATGAACACTGCAATTTGCTTTTCTGTTCATAGTATTTAAAACAGTAATCTTTTTTTTTTTTTGGTATGTTTAAGATGAAATAAATGAAAACCTAATTTTTTTTGAGTAATTCCAGAGTCACATAATGAAGCAGCATAAACCTTCCTCTTAAATGCCCAATGCAAAATGAATGGAGCAGCAAACTCTTATTGGATTAAAACCAATACGGATGTGAATGTTTGTTTTGCCAGGTGTCAAATTCCCAACAGTTTTCCAAGCGTTAAAGTTTGAAGTGAGAACAAGGACACAATAACACTGAGAGTCTGAAGATCTCAGTTTTACTAAATTAGGCCATGACACTACAGAAGGAAACCAAGATCTTTGGGATTTTATATAGCTAAATGGCATTACATACCATAACGCAGCATGGAGCAGGCAAAATATGGCACTATGGTACCTTAGTGTGCTTTGAAACACAGAACGATTGTTTCTACATAGTTAATACAAAGTCAATGTTTGTCAATGGGATGATGTAGTGACTATGTATGTGAGATTACTGGTTTGATGACTAACTTGGTGTCTTCTGTGTTAAACTTTGAGGACAAAAACAATAGGAAATGGAAGAAAACTCAATAATTATTACAACATTTTAACCACATAGCACTTTCTCAGTATTGAACATATGAGCCATGTACTCATGGGTAAATTTAGATAATGCACACAGATACAAGGTGTTACGCTGTTGCAAAAAGTAATAAGCATGGGTTGGAGCTGCAATGAGATTTTTTTGCATCTGGATGCTGTCAAGGCCAAGCCAGCAATCTCTTTATTCAATAATGCATGCTATGTTTACACAGCACCATTGGAAATATTTGCAACTTAAGCGCAACTTACATTAATAGGATATAAATGCATCTGAATTGGGGTCAGAAATTATTCAAGAATCAGGACATAAAAATCCTCCAAAAATGGCCTAGATATTTAAAAGTGTGGGCCAAAATTATGTTATCTGCTACCTAACTTGATAAATATTTTATCTAGGCCTGTGTAGTTATGAGTTCAGAAATTATGACATTTCAATGAACTAATTCAACATTATTTCTGATAATGCCATTTGATATAAATGGACAACACTCAGTGTGATGTTATAAAAATGTTGATGATGAATCATGCACAAAAAGACCAGGAACGCATGAAAGAAAATAAATAGGGTCAAGGGTCAATTTAAGACAGACTCAGCCAACCTGGCCAACTCCAGAGCCTCCCATCACTGGCTGATAATTAAAACAGCTCAACACATGGCTTACAATGCCTCAACAGTCCTGTCATGAATCCCTACCAGACATGTTTTCCTTTCCCAGGTGGGCGGGGCGTTCCGATGGAACGTGAGTGGGCGGGGCATCGTACGCGTCGTGACTATTTACATATTCAACAGCCTTGAAACGACTTATTAACATTACTGTAATAATAACCAGCTACTACAGCCTTCTACAAAAACCCAAATGTCCTTCAAAATCAGCTAAATAAGAGCGCAAACAAGTGTGGAAAGCGATCAAAGATGAGCACAGTCACTTGCTTTCCTCTGCAACAGATATTGAAATGAGAGTACATGCAGGAAAATATGACCACTACTTAGTGATCACTAGTTAGTGAACTGGGGGAAAGGCCTGTCCAAATACGAAGCCTAACGTACTTGGGGAAAAAAACAAAATAGGTGTCAAAATATCCACATTCACTCGATATACGCACACATGAACCTGCACAGTGAAGCATTTGCAGATAAGAACGTTTACTCGACCTTTCTTCCCCTGTCAGCTCACAGTCTGTCATGTTTTTGTCAAGTACGGGGCTTGGGGGACTGGAGAAGAGGCTCACAAAAGCCATGATGGTTGGAAGCGGAACTGGCCCTTCTCCGCAACCAGAGTAAGGAGCATCAGTCACTCGTTGGCTGAAGGTTTTGATATAACGTTACTGACAGTCTGGAGAAAAACTCACGGTTTACGCGTCTCAACAACACATGAGACGCTTAACAGACATTATATCCGCTCTCATGTTTAACACTGTCTCAACACAGCTTTGATACCCTCAGCTTTGTTTATGTCCCCGGCGGTTTCACAGATGCCCTGGTGCGAGACTGCAGACGCAGAATATTGTGTTTATGTTCGAAGGCTTTTTCTGGTTCTTCCACGGACATGGCGCCCGCAACATTTTCGTGAAAATGGCTGCGAGGATCTTGCAGAAGCCAGTGGTCCCGCCCAGTTTGTAAGCGGAGCCAATCGCTGGGTTTTCCGCCGTGGCGAAGCCACAAAGACTCGCTCTGCTATTGGTTGAAGCACTGGCGCCTAAGCGCGAGAACAATTTTCTGTTAATCTATTGGCTATTAAGGATGCCATCATTTTGAGCTCGCCGTACATGTTAGGATGACGCACTATTTATATTCTTATGTTTATTACTTTATTAACGGTTTTGCTTTTCCTTTTATTTGACCAATATTTATTTTTCCTGAAGCAATGCGATGTACTAAGCTCTTGTACGTGTTTTGGAATTTAATAAACAAGAAAACAAATAAATACATACATTTAAAGACTAAATATTGAACACGACTGCGATTCAAAAATAGCCCAAGATCTAAGTGAAACAGATGGAGCAAAATTAAACAATGTATAAGCTTAAAAGTTTAAAGGAATAACTCACATTCCCAAAGTAATACCAATGTACTACATAAAGAATTTGTCATAAATAGCCTGTTTATTTTGTGTAAATGAATGATTACAAGTGAAGATGACAATAAAGTATGTATGTTAGACTGCAGAAAAAGTTATACAAGTTCCACTACATTTACAAACTCTTTAAACAGTGATCAACAAGCTTAAGCATAGACTTTTGATACCTATAGAGATGCAGACATTGTGTACATACTATACTTGAGATTCAATTCTACACAAATATGAAAATAAAAGTATTTGTCTGTGGCCAAAATATAATAATAATAATAATAATAATATATGGTTTGGAGTCACACTCGCCTTAAATATTTTATGTTTCCTGAGAGGTATTCATTAAATTCAAAGATAAGGATGCTTCTGATTCATTACTTGTGTCTTTTATCTCATCTTCGGGTGGTTTTGATGTCTTTTGCCATATGAATATAAATAGTACAGTTAGGCACGCTGGTAATACAAATCCAAGGAGAAAGGCAATCATTGCAGTAAGTACATGTTCTGTAATTTGTGACAGAAACAAAGATTTCTCCCCTGAAACAAAAAGACAGAGCAAGTCAGTTGAGTTTTCACATATTTTATCATTATGCTCCTATAAATTATTCATGCCCTTGTGAGTGACTTACCATAGGTTATCCTCATTTTCCCATCAATGCTTAAGTGTTCAATCTCACAGGTAACATCGTGGCCGCTCACGTTACTAAGGCTAAGATAGGAGGTCATCTGGAAAGTGCCATCCTTGTGAGGGAGTATTCCAGTAGTTGATACACCAAAATAGATTGGCCTTGCTTTTTGGGTCCAGCGTACTTTAATGATGTTTGGATAAAAGCCACGCACAACACATTTAATATATTCCTGATCCTTTTCTCCTCCAGACGACACATATAATGCAGGTTTTGCTACATTTGAAAAGTAAGCAATTGTTTATCAAATTTGCAATGTGAAACCAACTGAATATAAACAGAGAATATACAGTATATGTACTTTAAACATATTTATGCATCAAAAGTATACATCCAATTTACAGTGATAGACATATACTGCAGATTTACCTGCCCTGGAGAGAGAGTTGTTGGACTTTAGGAAGACAGTTTTCACTGCAGAACACACCTTTACTAGTCGTGCCTCTTTTCTCTTAATGTATTCTTTGCTCTTTCTCTCTTCTGCTAAAAGCTGACCAGATTCACTCGTAGCAACCACAGCTTCTTTCACCAAATCCACATGCATGATATCTCTGCCATCATACCCATAGCGCCAGAAACGGCTTACTTGTCCTTCATTGTTGAATGCACATCCAATGAACTGCTGGTATGCATGTTCTTCTAAAATAAATAAATTGCAAAATGGTTACTACTAAATATCTATAGATCACATGCAGGTAATTTGATGTTAAAATATACACAGAACCTATTTGCACTTGAAATTTTTGTTAAGCCTTTGTCTTATAAATTTCACAGTTTAAAGTTAATAAATAAGCATATCTGGACTGATGTTTCCTTTTTGGATATGATTCAGGCTTGCACACAATCTCCTTAAAACATTTACCATTGTTTTTTTGTTATATTCTCCCACACAATATTACATTAAATATAAAAAATATATTGGACAAAATGTCCTACCTGCTGCAAGGATGGTATTAAAGAAAGCCATGACGAAAAGAAAAACTTGCATTTTGTTTTGTCAGTATTCACAACACTACAAGTTGAATTTCAAACTTGAAAGTAGGTCTTTTATATGCTGTGCCGTAATGGTGCAATCAAGTTATTTTCCACCTACCACTTTTATATTTGCAATCACTTTATATGGGTTTAATCTTTAATGAACTGACTAAAATTCTTAGGGAAAAAATAATTCCAGCCTGTAAAAGGAAACCATGGCATATCAAAAGTGAAAGTATGGAAAGAAAAACTGGTCAAGACATCATGTGATTGTCATGTGACTGATATTTTATCGGTCGGTTTTAACAGGAACACATTGGCTTTTGGTTACTTTCTGTGAACCAAACTGTGTGAATGGCAAACATGGAAATCATACAGACATTCACATTAATACTTCTGCTTTCTCCTCAGATCATCATGTGGACAGGTGAAGTTATAATATTGCTTTGTTTTCTCATCCCTCCTCTTCAACAGGAAGTAATGCATCATTTAGACAACAGGAAGATAAGAATCTTAGCATGTGTAAATCCATTGCATTTATTAATTTGAAAATACTGTACTGCTTAATAATATTAATGAATAAGTTGTTGTTTTTTTAGACTACCAGACAGCAAATATTCTGGCCTACACACGGACGATGGAGAATGGCTCCATAGACCAAGCGCTGGTTGTTTTGGTGAATGAAGCCACATTTGCATACTTCGACCAGGCAAAAAATACATTTGTCTTGCGTCCCAGTGCAAGCGCTGGGTTCTCAGTTTTAGAAGACAGCGATCGCTCGTTCTGCATGAATGAGGTGCTAGCAGGATTTTATCGACAAACTAATTACCTGGAGAAACTCAAACAAGAAACAAATTCATCGAAAGCACTTTTGGGTAATCTGATCAGAAGTTATGATGTCATTCTAAACCGACGGGGGAACGAGATGCTGCGATGACATCATCGCTTTGGGAACACCAGGCAGCACAAACATCTTCCATCGAGGACCCCTTGAAAAAGGCCTGAGAACAAGCCACTGCTCTCGTAGAATGAGCACGCACCCCTAGAGGCAAAGTCAAGCCACGCGCCTCATAGGCTAAAGAGATAGCCTCCACTATCCAGTGTGACATTCACTGTTTAGTGACAGCAGAACCTCTGCTCCTACCACCAAAACACACAAACAACTGGTCAGATCCACGCCACCAAACCGTGCGGTCGACATAGATCCTAAGTGCCCTAACTGGACAGAGATTCAGGCTAACTGACCCCTCTTCAACTGGGGAAAAAGCCTCCAAGACCACTTGTTGAAAACGAAACGGAGTCGAAGCAACCTTCGAAACATAATCAGGCCTAGGTCGCAAAAAGACTTTGACCAGCCCCGGGGCAAAGTCCATACGTGAAGGACTGACGGATAGAGCCTGCAGATCCCCTCCTCTCTTAAGGGAGGATAAAGCCAAGGTCAAGAGCTTCTCTGACACAGACTCCATCGGTTCAAAGGGATGGCCTGTCAGGCCCTCCAACACAATTGATAAGTCCCAAGAAGGAACTCGAGCTGGGCGGAAAGGCCTAAGCCGTCTCGAACCCTGCATAAAACGTGAGACCAGGGGGTGACGACCAACCGAAACACCTCCTACGAGTGCATGTCCCGCCGATATGGCCGCCACGTACACTTTAAGAGTGGCGGGGGTAACCCCTTCAGAGAAACGACTCTGAAGAAACTCCAGTACTGAACCGATAGGGCAGTGGACTGGATCCAAAATACGCTGTCTACACCAAGAGGCAAAAAGTCTCCACTTGAAAGCATATAAGCGTCTCGTGGAGGGAGCCCTAGAATTCATAATAGTGTCGGTAATCTCAGCCGAGAGACCAGAACACATTAGCGTACCCCACTCAGGGGCCACGCCCATAACTTCCATAATTCCGGTCGAGGATGCCAAATCATGCCCCGAGCTTGCGTTAGCAGATCGTGTCTGAGGGGAACCTCCCATGGAGGACCTGAGGAACTTCCTGTGCCTCCTGACGATCGGGATGTGAAAGTATGCATCCTTTAGATCGATGGTCACGCGTTCTGTTTCGGTTGGAACGTACGCCTGATTCTCCCGTATAGGATCCCGGAGCACCTGAGTGGCGGAAAAAGCTATAATGGGAAGATGTCCGATTGTCCTGTCGGGCCTGCCCACCACCCCAAAAGTGGGAGCTTTGGAGGCCGTCATAAACGGGCCATGCTCGCATGACCCTTGGGCTTT